TGGGCAACTTGGTGAGACCACATCTCTACAATAAATAAATAAATAATTTTTTAAAAAAAGAATTTCTAATAATTAAGAATCACCATTAAGAGGAACAAGAGGATCAAATAGCAATCTACAGAGAAGGTATTGAGTCTCTCTCTCTCTCTCTCTCTCTCTCTCTCTCTCTCTCTCTCTCTCTCTCTATATATATATATATATATATATATATATATATATATATAATCTCTGGCAAGGAACTCATATAACTATGTTTTCTAAAACCTACAAATCAAAGAGAAAAAAGCAGGTATTATTCAACACAAAAATGGGCAAAAGATTTGAACAGGTACTTCAAAAGATAATATATAGTCAATAAACACATGAAATGACTCTACTTCATAGTCACTTGGGAAATACAAATTAAAACCATAATGTGATACTTCTAAACACTCATCAGGATAAACTGAAAAAGAAAAAAATAAATGTCAAGTAATGAGAATGTACACTAAACTTGAACTCTCATACGCTGCTGGTGGGAAGGTAAAATATACAGTCACTTTAGAAATTTGTCTAAGAGTATCTTACAAAGCTTAATACAAACACACTCAGAATTTCTACTCCTAGGAAAGGAAAATATGCAAAATATGCAAAAGAAAGTATGAATTTATATATATATATATATATATATCTGTATGTGCTCACCAAAAGACATATATAGGTCCTTGGTGAACATATATATGCTATTCAAATACACACACACACACACACACACACACACACACACACACATGAAAATATCAAATGTCCATTAATTATAGACATTTTTATTTTAGTTTAGCCCTGCCATATAAAACTATACAATAATGAGCATGAGCCAACTACAGTTAACTGCAACAACAGATATCTCTGAAACACATTCAATCAAAGACAGAAGAAAAAGAGAATATATGGTTCTAGTTTTTATAGTTCAAAAACAAGTAAAACTAATACAGAAGCAAAAAAGAATACATAATTATAGTTTTTATAGCTCAAAAACAGGTGAAACTAATACATGGTGTTTCAGAATAGTGGTTAACCTTCAGGGACTGGGTAGTAACTAGAAAGGGGTTGAAAGGGGGTTCTTAGATGCTAGTAATCTTGATCTGGGTAGAGTACATGGTCATATTCACTTGGTAAAAATTCATTGAGTCCTATATTCACAATATGTACACTTGTGAGTATTACATATAGTTCAATAAAAGTTTACTTAAGACCGGGCACGGTGACTCACGTCTATAATACCACACTTTGAGAGGCCGAGGTGAGAGGATTGCCTGAGCTCAGGGGTTTGAGAGCAGCCTGGGCAACTTGGCGGGGCCTCATCTCTACAGTAAATTTTAAAAATTAACCAGGCATGGTGGTGTGTGCCTGTAGTTCCAGCTATTTGAAAGGCTGAGGCGGAAGGACCCCCTGAGCTCAGCAGGTCCAGGTTGCAGTGGTCATGAGCATGCCACTGCACTCCAGCCTGGGTGACAGAGTGAGACTCCAACTCAAAAAAAAAAAAAAAAGTTTTATTTAAAAAATGGTAAATAATACCAAAAAATGTTTAAAAACTGATTCATTAGTAGCCAGAAGCATGAATACTTAAACAAGGCATTATTATGGTCAACTAAATAAAATCAGTAAACAAGTATTTATTGAGTCCCTGCTAGTTGCATGATGTATGTTAGCACTGTTGAGACAACAAGACAGTGTTTCCTTTTCAGCCTCATGGAGCTCAGTGCTGACATTTTTAAAAAGGAAGAAAACAAGGAGGGAAAGATAAAAGGAGAAAAGGAAGGTGGGTGGGCCTAAAATGCTAAAAATCAGTAATAATGCATTTTTCATGGTTGCATAAACTGATATTATTCTTTTGACAAGAAATTTGGCACTACATATCCTAATCTTTAAGAATATCCATCTGCTCAATGAATTATTAAAAAATAAGAGGCAAATCATATACTAGTAAATGACAACTATGTAAAAAAAAAAAACCCTTATGCACAGAAAAAATATATACATCAAAACGTGTTTAACTCACTATTTTCTTTTTTTTTTTAAAACATATCAAAAGATGTTCAACTTTATTCAAAACATAATGAAATGAAAACTACACTGAGATACTATTTGTCATTCATTGATTAACAAACATTCAAAAGGTGGCAACCTACTATATTAATAAAGCTGTAAGGAAAATAAGTACTCCATTACATTGTTGTTGGAAGTACAAAATGGAACAAACACAGCTACAAAAATTCAAAAAATAAGCCAGGAGGCTGAGGCTGTCCTGAGCCATGGACATGCCACTGTACTCCGGCCTAGGTGACAGAATGAGACCCTGACTCCAAACAAACATGACAGAGAGAAAAGTTGACAATATTTAACAAACTTATATGCTCATATGCATTTATCATTTGATCCAGTAATCTCTTTTATTGGAAGTTACCCAGAGGATACATCTACAAAAACTAAATCAAGTGCACAAGGTTATTAATTGAACTCACTATTTTCTAAAAGATCTTTAACAAGGTTATAGTGTGAAAACAAATCAACCATAATTTGCTACCTAATATCAAAATGCATTTTATACATTAGGTATTTTTCTGTGTCCTTCAGGGTCTTCTTAATATGTATACTTCCAAAGGGAACTGTAATGAAAAAGTAAATTCTGTTTAAAAATAAATCAACAGACTTTTTTCTTTATGACAACCTGAATGTTATCCCTACATAGTTATGAGAAACATTCTGTGAGAGTTGAAATCCCAGGAAGTAAATATCCGACATAAGATTTTTCTGTAACATGATTTTAAAACTGCCTGCTTTCTCTTAGAGATTTGTTTGGTCATAAAATGCCTAGAGCCAAATAGATATGAAAAGCAACGGCTTTTCAACAAACTCACTCTAACACCATTTTCTAATAAGTTTACTGCTAAAGCTCCATTATAAAATCAAAGAGGCATTCGCTTGAAAAGAAAAAAGGGCATCTCAATAAAATCAAACCAGATATAAAAAGGAGAAAAGCTTTTGAATGTATTTCTAAACAAAATAAAAGTTAACAATAACATGAAAAATGTGAGTAATACTCACCTAAAATAAAAATAAGCCACTGTGCCTCTCTGGACTAAGGAAAGAGTATTAGGGATAGACTATTGACAAAAATCTAAACTAGACTGAGTAGACAGGAAACTAAAGCCCTACAGGCAGAATCAAAGAGCTAGAAGGAAAGTAAGGAGAGTCCAGAAGTAAGACAAAGTCAAGAGCCAAGGTACCAAACTAAGGAAAAGGCTAACATTGAAGCGCATCCTCTGGACTTGGTCTTTAGCAGGTTGTCTTTGGTATCAGCTGCTGCGCTGGGCTGGGGACAGGGTTAAAGGGGTCTAGCAGTGAAGCAAAGCTTGGCTGGGAATGGATTGGAGCACTTGAGGAAGCCAAAGTCTGATGGGTTCAAAGGCGAGTTCTCAAGCATGAGATGGCAAGGCCTTCTACATCAGGAGGACAAGAGGTAAGGAGAAGAGTATGAACAAAGGACTAAATTTCTTAAACTGCTGATACACAGAATTTATACATAGACTTGGGCTGAAAGGTTACACGAATAAAAACTCCCCAGCCAAGATTGCAAACTGCAGATTTATAGCAGCTATATTTTTTTCTCCAGTATTATTACTAGTGGCTCACATACACAAGAAGAAAAGGCAAGTGGCTGAATTGACAGTTGGATTTACATGAAAAGTGGTGGTTGTATAAGGGGCTGAGGCAGCCAGAGCTGATAGATAAAAAGTTAGAGCACAGGACTTAGCTGAGAAGGCAAAGCAAAGTGACTGCACACAAATAAAAAATATTCTAGTAAAAGCAAAGAAATAAGGGCATGAGAGGCTGGAAGGAATAAAGGATGTCACCAGAAAGTGAGATATTAAAGGCAGGTTCTAAGGATAAACTCATTTAGGGTGGTGACATGGTACCAAGTTTTACCTGGGGATTAGGCAGCTGAGTTGTGACAATCATTACAGTGGAAAAAAATCAAATTATTGTACAGCTCAGGGTAGAATGGTGAGTGAAGTTCACTAAGCTGATAACAGAACTTTGTTAAACAAGGATGTAGTAAGCCAGGTTTCACAGCGCTAATAAAGCAGGTAGTTTGACTAGGAAATCATGAAAAAGGGAGAGTGGAAATAGGGTGGCAGAAGCCTCAGAGGAAAAGATTTCACAAACAAAAAGCCATCAAAAGATTTCAATAAAACCCAACCATTTAAAAAAGGTATTATTATTTTTTAATTTAATTTTTGTTTAAAGAAACAGTGTCTCACTACATTGCCCAGGCTGGTCTCGAACTCCTGCACTCAAGTAATCTTCTCTCCTCGGCCTCCTAAGTAGTGGGACTACAGGTATGAGCCACTGCAGTCGGCTCCAACCATTCTTAAAAACACTAAATATAATGCCATATCTTACAGCTACATAACTGAAAACAATTAGAAAACAGTTAAAATTCTGCTTTAAAAAAACTGAGATATATACTGCCTTATATATTCTCATTTAGTGGGAGAGTAAATTTTTCACTAAAATGTGAATTAAGACAAGTCAAAAAAATAGAAAAAAATCACTATAATCCTACTATCTTAATACAACCATGTAATAATTTTTATTGTTATAATCATATTGTACATAAAATATTACAATAATTGTTTTCCATTAGCCATATGCATTTTTTAAGTCACGTGCATTTTTCCATGTTAATTTTAACACTTGCATGATATTTTATCAAGCAGATTTCCAAAATTTATAAATCAATTCCTCCATTACTCATCTAATTTGGGGCTACCACACATTATGCAGGGATATAAATCAGTGTGTATGATTTTATATTTCCATGCCCTACCTGAGAAGTAGAGAATTAACAGTATCTAAAGTGGAAAAGTTGTCCTTTCTAAAGACTGAAAGGAGAATAGTAAGTTTATTTTCAGATGCACTATCTCACCAGGTCACTGACAAGCCAAAAGATTTACCTGGAAGAAATCTTACAAAACGTGGCATGAAATGAAATCTTGGGCAGCAGGGAGGACTGTCTTCAAACAAAGGACCTAAAGCAAACAAATGAAAAGGGGGGAAAAAAAAGAAATCAAACAGCTTTAAAAAGCACACACTGCAACTTAATTTCTAAGATTTATGATAACCACAAAAACTACTACCAGAAGTAGAGACATAAAAAATACCACTGCCTTCTCCTACTCTTCCTCTCAGTGGCTAAATCAATCATTGGTAACTGCCACAAGCACCCAAGGAAGACTGCAAGGAGGAGACTACAGGAAGTCAAGAGGAGAATGAAAGCCCCAAGGAACAAATATATATGGTAAAATTAGCTGGGCTCGGTGGCTCAGCCTGTAATCCCGTGCCTTTGGGAGGCTGAGGTGAGTGGATTGCGTGAGCCCGTGGGTTCGAGACCCGCCTGGGCAGCGAGACCTCATCTCTATAATAAATCAAAAAATCAGCCGGGTGTAGTAGCACATGCCTGTAATTCCGGCTACTTGGAAGGCTGAGGCGGAAGGATTGCCAGAGTCCAGCAGGTCGAGGCTGCGGTGGCCGGGAGCGGCCACTACACTCCAATCTGGGCAACGGAGTGAGACTCCAACTCAAAAAAAAAAAATACACTACTTTAAAAACAAATAAGCCAGGCTCAGTGTCTTAGCCTGTAATCCCAGCACCTTGGGAGGCCGAGGCGAGTGGATTGCCTGAGTCGCGGGTTCGAGACCAGCCCGGGCAAAGTGGTGAGACCGCGTCTCTACAATGATTTTTTAAAAAAAGCTAGCCGGGCGTGGTAGCACACACCTGTAGTTCCCGCTACTTGGAAGGCGGAGGTGGAAGGATCCCCAGAGCCCAGCAGGTCGACACTGGGGTGGCCTGAGCCTGCCACTGCACTCCAGCCTGGGCAACAGAGTGAGACTCCAACTTTAAAAAATGAATACAATAAATAAGTAGGCTGGGCGCAGTGGTTCATGCCTATACTTCCAGCACTTTGGGAGGCCGAGGTAAGAAGACTGCCTGAGCCCACAGGTTGGTGACCAGCCTGGGAAACTTGGCGAGACCTCATCTCTACAATAAATCAAGAAATTAGCTGGGTGTGGTGGCACATGCCTGCAATTCCAGCCACTTGGAAAGTTGAGGCAGAAGCATCACCTGATCCTAGCAGGCTATGGCTGTGGTACCTGTAAGCGTGCCACTGCACTCCAGTCTGAGCAACAGAGTGAGATTTCCAACTCAAAAACACATAAAATAAATAAGTAAGTAACTGTTTGCTGGAATACAGATACTTCCAAAAGAGTAAACTACTATCCAAGAGTCAGGCATCAAGTCTTTGAATCTATCTAGCTCACGTTGTGTGTGGCATGTATGTGTGCATATGTGTGTTTTAATAACTAATTGAAGTTTTCTGTTTTAATAAACTGCCACTTAAGAAAATTTATTACAGTAAGTTCACTAGATTCAAAAAATTAACTAATGATATTTTTCCTAATACACCTAAATCAAGGTAGTTACTCATAACTGGTACAATCTCCACATTAGTACCAGCTAATAACAGGTGCTGTGAAATTATATAAAGTAAAATCCATAAAAACATATTCATGTCAAATGACAGCAAGCATTCTTACGAATAACACTTTTCCCTGGGTATTTAAAAAATAAGAGGAATTTCAACTACGTCCCCAACACTTTTATCAGAGTTTTCATACATACCATAACATTCTTCTATAAGCGTTACTCTTTTCTTTAAATTCTATCATTTACCTTTAAGATTCCAGTCATATAATTCCAAAATATCTCTGAATAGAAACAGTGAGAAGAGTTCAAGTCCTTTCACACAAAAATTCTGAAACATAAACCAAAACCAAATTATTAGGTTGGTAAAGGTTGGTAAATATGTATTAACTGAAGGCTCATCCTGTTCTAGTCACATATCTTAAAAAGTGTCTGCTAAAACTATACCAAAACCATACAATTTCCTAGAAAGTTTGGCCACTGTCTTACAACAGCTCACAAATTTCACACAGAAATGAAGTCGACAATAATGTTACTACAAATTCTACAAGTGTCAACTTAGCCCTTCTCAGTGTACAAATAAAATTATGTGAAATCTAAATGTCAAGTCTCACTTATATCATATTTTTCCAATCCAATTATAAACTGTATCAAAACCTCTTGGAGTTTTTTGTTAATTAAAATTACATATACACACATGCAGGCTCTGATACGCTTGTCCTCAACCCCCACCCTATTCATCCAGAATCACTGCATAGAATTACCAAAAAACAGAGTTTCTTTGTACCCAAAAAGTTAAAAAGCTTCATGAAGGCAAATGAAGGACTAAGAAAAACTATAAAACTCTGTACCAAAATTTCTACCGTAAGCAAGCTAAACAGATGATATTTGCAAGTGCGACTTGTCTCATAATTCTTCCTCCTACTTGTTTTGCTTGGGATTCATAAATCACCCTGCATGAGATCACACCAGAAATCATAAACTTTTACAATAGCAAATGAAGTCTTATGCCCTTAAAAATCCAAAGGAAGCAGAAAAACCCTTCTAAGCAGAAGAATGAAGGGGTAGTTCTTTTTCTTTAATTCTTTTTGAAAGGCGGGTAGAATGAACAAGATTTGCTCAGAATTAAATGGGTGCCAAGTAGGCATGCACGTCATGCCCATCAATTCCCCTTCCATGCTCCATGCCCACCACAGAGCTGTCCCATTAAGCATGGTTTGTAAGAAGAGCCAGGGGCTCTGGAAATCGACCCTGACTCCAACACAATGTTAAGTACACAAGCTTGTCTGCTGTCTAGTTGTTATTTCTTGGTGTGATTTGTTGACACTACTGTATTCAAGATCAGGCTATGAATCATTCTGAGATTCACATTAATCTTTCTTTGGAATTTTAAATCTCTTGCATATATTTAGATAAATCTGCTGCTGAGCATCACAATGAAAAACAATTAGGAAAAATATGTAAATATATGGGAAGAAAAATGAGCCAAGCATTGATCTTGTCTTTGGAGATAACGAATAAGATTATTATAACAGCTATCAGATTCAGTTTCACTACTCCAATTTCCTCTCTGATAATGGCCAGTAACCAAAATCTGTCCCCTACGCAAAACAAATTAGAAACAGATGTAAAGTTAATATCAGCAGATGCAACACAAGGAGAAATGAGTTCAAAAATAGGTCAATGAGTTGAAAAATGACCCGAATTTTAACCTTGATCCTACAGCTGCATTTCACTGATCCTTTCAATACTGAACATGATACTTTAGGGGTATACCTATGACAAAAGCTAGAGCTGGCCAAGTTCAATGCTTTAAAATGTAAGTGTGGAATAAATGAAAGAGCATACAACATTAAACTGTTAAATAATCTTTTCCCTTACCTCCGGCATCATCTCTTCAATGAAATGAATCGTGTAGTCTATGTTGAATCTAATTACTTTACACAGTGGAATCTGCAATAAGAAGAAGTGAAATTCAGTTCCTCAATACCTCCCTGCAGGCTCATAATACACACGTTTGCTACCTGACCCAGAAGGTCATGAACCAGATGAGAAGGTGTCACCTTCATCTAAGCTGCTAACACTGCACATGAAGCTTGACCACAACTGCTGGATTTTAATGACAAGAACCCAGCTGGCCTGGCCTCTCCAAGAAGCCTGCATAATGTGGTGCATAATTAACAGTATTAGCAGCAGCAACACAAACACGGTAACAATCCATGGAAACCAAACATATCACCTCTAAAGAATTAATAAAACCATAATAATAAACATTTCTTTTTTTCAGGTTTTTAAAAATATTTTAGAATTTTTGGCTCTTTGGGCAGACCAGGTAAGTAGAGCAATAAATTATCAATTAAGGATTCATAAGTCATTGAAGAGTACATAGTCTAGCTGCCTATTTAACTCTTGAGCTAAGCAATTATGGTAATAAATATAGTAATAAGAAGTTATAATAAAAATAATAGTAGCTAACACTTATTGAGCCAGGCAGTGTCCTAATTGCTTCATAATAGTCACTCATGTATCATCACCACATCTCTGTGAGACAGGTTTGACTACCATGCCCATTATATGGTAGAAGAAAGTAAGGCAAGAGTGATCAGGTACCTTGCCTAAGGTAACAGGTAGCTGGTGAATTAGGAAGTCTTCCTCTAGACCTTAGCTCTTAGTCACTAGAGTATATACCTCACATTACCTGTTCTAATACTCAGGATATGTGTGAAAATGAAAGAAGGTTCAGTATGATAAATCCACATCTGTCTTATTTTACCAGTGTATCATCAGAAACTTTGTCTACTGCCTATACATAATAGGTTTTCTGTAAATAAACATATTTTTGGATGAGGAGGGAGGTTACCGTAGAGGACTGGCTGGCTAGCTGGGGAAAATTACAGACTCAGAAGCCCGAGAGATGTGTTAAGTGAGCTTTTCTGACTGCTTAATCTGTCCAAAAGATGATTTTATATAGATGTAATCGTTTTTTACAAACCACAGCAATCATAAAGAAATAAATTTTAATTCTATCAGCAAAAGGGATGGCAAAGAAAACAAACAAAAAAAATAGTCTTATAATGCCATCTACTGGATCCACTTTTTTTCAGAAATGAAGTTTAGTTCTTGGTGCTTTTTCTTTTTTGTAAAAGACAATAGTTAATTTGAATGAAATTCATAAATAACTTTAACAAAAGATCCATTTCAACCTTCTTATGATGAATTCTAAACCAACCAAAGCAACATGCTAAGGTCACTACTATTTTTTATCATTTTACAGTATTGAAGAGTTACAAATTTTTGCATGACTCAACCTATTTTCAAAATATCTATTCTTTGCTAACAATTATGTTAGGTTCATAGTTACTCTAAAATAAGCCACAGGTCCTACCTTAAAAGGTAAAGATACAGAAGAAGAGAGGCATGTAAACAAATACAAATAGAAATAAGACCATGCAATTTTAAGTGCAATTAAAAAACAAACAAGCAGCCAAATAAAGTATACATTAAAAAAAAAAAGAAACAAAGAGGAAATAACATCTGAATTGTCTTCAAAAATGGGGAGGGATTTCTCAGGTCACCTAGAAAAATAAAGTTGAGGCAGAGCAGGTATTTAACTTCTAGCAAGACAGAGAAAAGGGACCTGGGGAAGAGAACATCATTTATCAGTTCAGAGAGAAGTACATGGAGAGAGAGACACCAGGTGAGCAGAAAGTGTGAGCTCTGAATCATGGAGCCCTTATAAGCCATGTGACCGTCAGGGCTTCTGGCGGTACGGCAAGGAGTGATCACTCAAGCACTTTAAATGAGATACTACCATTGTTAACATTTTAGATAAATCACTGTGGAAACTGTATGGGAATGGCTTGTAGGAGAGCAAGGAAGACCAGAAGACCAGCCTGAAGTCTAATGCCAGGAGCCAAATGAAAGAAAGACTGGAAAGGGAGGTCACGTTTTTAAATAGGAGATATTACTAAAATACACTGTGACCATTCTGATGGGGGAGTGAAGGCAAAGAAAGAATTGAGGATAATTTCCTGGTTGTGATAGGTCATGATGGCATGAATACAAAAGCAGAAATTCATGAAGATGCCCCCCAGTACCTCAAACTCAATGCGCGGGGAAGATGACGAATGAGTCTAGTTTCATACAGGTTGAAGGTAAGGTACCTGCCCGACGGAACATCAAGCAGGGCATTTCAAAGGCAATATGAAATGTGAAGCGTGGAGCTATAAATATCAAGCTGGTGGAGATCAGAATATGCATGGGAAGAGAAACCATGGGTAGAACTGAATTACTTGGAGAGAGAAGGCAGAGGGGAGAAAAGGACCAGAGTCCTAGGGAATACTCAAGAGGCAAGCAAAGAAAAAGCAAAGGTGTAAACTTTGCTTTCATGTGAAAAAGCACTGCTGGATGATGTATGCAAGTACAGTCCTTTCCCAACTTATTTTAACTAAAATCACTTAGTGGAATTCCTTCTCTAACCTCTTCTCCTTATATACAGTTTATTTTCTTCTAGATGTCCATCTATACCACCAAAGTCCTTCTCAGACACACAAATTTGGAAAGGCAGGTTCTCCTTATCTGTTCAAAACCTGATCTCTTTGTCATTTTACTACACAGTGGTCAACCAAGAAACTGTGTAGCTGCAAAGATTACCAAAACAACTTGCAATCAATGCCTTCAAATAATGTCTACTATCACTTCTTAAAACATATTTAAATACTTAAAAGTAAAGAATTATATGCTGACTGACACAAACGCCTATCTCATCCTAGCAAAAAAACACACCAAAAAACCCCAAAAATCTTCCCCAAACCTTTACATTCTAATTCTATTACTTCCACACACTGAATAATCAAACCCAGAGGTCAGCAAAGCCACTGGAAATGAAAGCCAACTAATGTGGGAGGGAAATGATCAAGAGGTTTTCCTGTGCTTTTGAGAATGTAATAAGATATTGTATAACTAATACATCTATCCTTATAACTACAGTTGCCGAAGTCCTTAACACCAGGTATTAATAGGTAATAACAAACATACTATATAAAGGGATAAAATTCTCCTGGAATGCTCTATATTTAGCCACCAAGACTTTTAATCTACTTCAACTCAAGAAGACCTTAAGAGAACTTGTCGGCCTAGATTTGGTGGAGATTCTATCATTACCATCATTTGCATGCTCTTTTTGCTGATGTTCTCTCTCTAGCAAGAAAATGAATCAGATCAGTAAAGTGATTTAAAAATTATTTTTCTAAGGCTATTTCAAATTTAAGAGGCCTTTGATAGATCTAATTCCTATGAACTGTACAACACTCAGTTTAAAACTCAATTTATTTTATCAACATGTCTAAGATATATGATGGAGCTTTTAAATGCAGAGTAAATTTCTCAAGTTTGAGAATTTGAATACTTACATAAAATATGTGATAAAGTCAGGAACTTTTCTGTGCTATCTTTTATTTTATAATGACAGTAACAACTGTGATTAACTTAGTACTAGTGACCTCTAAATGTCAAACCATGTGCTGAGGGAGTTTTTAAAAATTATGTATTCCACTTGCTTTTATTGTGAACCCCAGACCGCTCTAAAATGCAAAGCCTATTTTTAAAAAATTACACCTGATTTCTCACTAAAATCTCATAAACTACTACCATCAATGAAGCTAAAAGAATCACTTGTCCAATGGGGGAGGGGAGAACAAAGAATTCGAAGAAAGATTCAAAGCCAGCTCTGTTTGACATCTTTTCTAAAACAAGTGACAGTATTTATTATGGGCCAAACACCATGATAAACTTTTCATGTGTCATCTCAATTATTTTTCACAAAAGCTGAGGAGATTGCTACAACTAATACCCCTATCTTACAGATGACAAAACCAAGGCTTATAAAGATTACAATGTCAAATCACACAGCTAGTAAGTCACTAATATTTAAACCCGGGGCTTTATGAAGCCACACTGCTTTCCTTCTTTCATTAAGGAGATCCTAAAAGTCAAAATAAGATCTATATTACTTCTGAGGAATCAAAAGATAATATGATAAATAATTTTAAGTATTTCATGCTAACTAAATCATGTGTATTTGCAAACTCTCCAGAGAAAAAAGAGAAAAAGCCATTAGGTGGGGGGCAGTGTCAACTCTAAGACTATGAGATTTGGTGTATAAAAGGGTTTAAGTGTCCAAGACACTTAAAAAAACAGCAAAGAAATCACCAAAATTCAAAGACTTCCTAGTATCTTTTAATAAAGATTATTTAAGAATGGTCCAATATTACTGCCTTTTTTATATTAGTGAACAGATGGTCCGCCCTGGAGATAAATATAGTATGTATTATCAAATGAGTTTATTTTTACATTTACATTGTAATCATCTTCTCAAAGAATATGTTCTAGGATAAAATATACTGTAGAATGAAAAAAATCTAATTAGGAAAACAATTTGCTTTAAATTAGCATTACTATGATGGAATCACATTTACTTAAAGTGACAGAAAGAGCCAACATAAGGCAAAGATTTGCATCTTACTCTCCACTGAAACAGAATTTAATGTGTTAAACAAACAGTACAAAATAATTTTCAAATTGCAGATATAATTTCATATAATCAAACCAGAAAAGATTAAAACACATTCTATTTTGCTATGGATACACCATAGCTAAAATTCAGTAAGTCCTACAACAGTGCCTAGACTGGGTCAAGAAACCAGCTATATCTTTCTCTGCACTGCTGCTGGTCAATTCATTCTATGTCCATCTGGAATATAGAATAAGACAATTCCCAGGGCTGCTAGCTTGAATATGGAAAGATTTTGACTCACAGATAACAGCACTTCCATTTGAACAGCTTACCAACTAAGTAGCCCTAATACCTATATGAAAATATCATGAATCCATCTCAAAATTTCTTAAAGAAGATATATTTCTGAAATTCTAAAGCAGAAAACTATGTAGTGAATTCAAGGTCCAAATGTTCTGAACAAGCTCCACTTCTCTATCACTCAGAGACTAAATGGTGGCTTTTCCTTAAAACTTTCCAACTTTCTTCTAAAGTACAACCAGCCCAAAATAGCTTTAACACATTACTCCACAGTTTATCCTCCTTTTTTCCATCTTTCACACGCTCAAAATGTTATTCTGACATGTTTACTTACACAATTTAATGTGGACCAAGCCTGTGACTCATTAGCACAGATGCCACCTGATGCACACTGCCACAGACTTCCTGCAGCTAGTACAGAGGGACACAGAGTAAATGTTACTTAGGAGTCAGATGATGGAATTCTATTTTGATTTTTGGAAAGAAATGATGAAGGGAAGGCAGGGGAGGAAAGAGGTACAAGGAAAGAGAAAGGCAGCCAACTGGTACATACTTACATTGGTCAGGGGGGCGTGTGCAAACATAGAAAATCCTTCAAAGATATACTCATGATCATCATATTCTATAACAGTTGGTCTATCAGTCTAAAAGCAAACAGAAACACAAGCCCAAATTAAATAAATGACACAATTTGCATTTGCAGAAATCCAACAGGACAGAAAATAACCAATAGGAGAAATGCAGGGACATCCTTCCAGACACCAGAGAGAACTTAATACAAAGTTTAATTTTAGGTGGAATATTTTGGTTTCACATATTGAATATGGTATTTATGTACTGAGACAATCAGTGAAGTTTATTATAGGTGCTATAAAGAAAAAACCTGGTATATATATGTAGCTTCATTTTCTAGCAACTTCTTTTATTTAATCACACAATACTACCAGTTCTGTTCCTACTAAACTCTATTTCTGAACTAACAAAAGTCCTGACAGGAACAAGGTAATAACACAGTTGACTCAAATACAAAGTGAAAATAGACTCAGCATCAATATGGTCAAGACTAGCAACAGCCTGGAAGGCTCTGAAAGGCCCCCAGATACCAGAAGCTCAGTCCTTTATAATTCCATTCCCAGAATCTCTGAGGAGAAGTCAACCAACCAAACACTGCAACAAATCAATTCCTTTACAAGGTCAAAGATCTTAATCACCTGAAAATTAAATCTGTAATTAGATAATACAGATGTCAATTTAAGCATGAGGGACAATCTTCCTTACACCATTCTTACAGTCCACCATTTTTAATCTTAAAGGCTAAATATGGAGGTAATTATCAAGACTGATAATCCAGAAGACACATTTCTTACATAGTTATTAAATATCATTCTTTTAAATATCACATATATAAGAACACCTTGGGCAGGGGGGAACTAAAGAATATCTAAATATAAATTATTTGTTTTACCAATGTTATTATTACTTCCTATTTGAGAAACAACAAAATTGGTCCAACTTAAACATAAAAATGACTTCTGATAAATAATGCGTAATATTTTGAGGATTCACCAGAGTTAACACATGATCCAGCACTTCCAGTCCTAGGTATATACCCAAGGAAAATGAAAACATATATCCACACAAATAACTGTACACATATGTTCACAGTAGCATGATTGAAAATAGCCAGAAAGTAACAACCCAAATGTTCATCATCTTATGAACGGATAAAATATAGTATTCACATAGTGCAATATTATTTGGCCATAAAAATAAATGAAGTGCTGATGCATGCTACAGCATGGACAAATCTTGAAAAAAATCATGCTAGATGAAAGAAGCCAGACACAAAAGACCATATATTGTACGAGCCCATCCCTATGAAGTATCTCAATAGGCAGCTCTGTAGAAACAGCATCTTAGTAGCTGCATAAGGTTGGGAGGATGGAAAAAAATTGACTGCTAATGGGTACAGGGTGTCTTTTGAGATGAGGAAAATGTTTCCAAGTTAGAATATGGAGATATCACAAGTTGCAAATGGACTAAAAATCATAAACTATACACTTTAAATGGGTAAACTGTGAGGTATATAAATAATGTCTCAATAAAATTGTTAAAATACATAAGTATGAATAATCTAACTTTGAAATTGAAATCTCTTGACAATACAAGTCACCACAGTTAATCAGTTTAGTTCGGTGAAAAGTAATACAGTATAGTAGAATAGCATATAGGCTGATACACTGGTACTGACTCCCTGGATTCAAATAAATGTCCTGTCATTTACTACCTGAGTAATCTTGAGCAAGTTACTTAAGCTTATCTGTAAAACATGGACTACTGCCCCACCTGATAGAGGGGTTAATAACTTCTTTCAAGGCCAGGCCCAGTGGCTCAAGCCTATAATCCCAGCACTTTGAGAGGCTGAGGTGAGAGGACTGCCTGAGTCGGCTGGTTCGAGACCAGCCTAGGCAACTTGTTGAGCCCTCATCTCTACAATAAATCAAAAATTAGCCGGGCATGGTGGCATGTGCCTATAGTTCCAACTACTTGGAAGGCTGAGACAGAAGGATCGCCTGACCCAGCAGACTGAGGTTGCAGTGGCCGTGAGTGTGTCACTACACTCCAGCCTGGGCGACAGAGGGAGACTCCAACTATAAAAAAAACCAAAAAACAAAAAAAACTTCTTCATAGGTTTGTTGTGAGAATTACATAAGTTAATATATTTCAAACACTCAGAATAGAGCCTAGAACATACTACCTGCTCAACAAATATTAGGTATCATTTTTACTGTCATAAACACACAACAGATTTTCTTGTTTGGGTTCCTAGACAATAAGTATATAAATAAATATATAAATAAAAACATTCCTTCCATTCCTTAGCTCCAATGAATAGCTCTGTAATTCACTGGCTATTATGAATGCGGCTATTATGTGGCACAAATAATATAAACCAAAAAAAAAATACAGTAGTATAGTGAGAGGAAGCTGAAATAAACATCATCCTGGTAAAGCCCAATTTTAACAAATAAAAATATTTTTAAAAGAACATCTAAGAAGTGACACAGTAAGTTAGCCTAGTCACATTTCGATTCATTTACATTTTAAATTATAGGAAATCTAATCTTGTTTAAAACTTACCAAAAAGTTTGTAGGGGGGGAGACTGTAATCCGGTAGTGGAAAAGTCTGCCAGCATTGTTGGTCATAGGACGGCAGGGCTTGATGGCCTGAGAGGGAAAAAATAAAAATGAGTTTCCAAGTAAGCAGCAGAATATTTTTATTCAAAAACAGACTGTGTTTTCTAGATTCACTTCTAACAAAAGAGGCTTTATGTGTGTTCCTTCACAGACTGGTAGGAAAGAACAATATTCATTTTACCATTAACTAAGTTAATAAAAAAGGGCTGGCCGGTCACCAGTTCTTAGCCATTTCCTCATGTGCTGAGGATGCAGGGATGTCCAATAAGACCATAAATGTCTGTGGGTTTTGGAGTCCCCAAAATACCATGAGCTTGGGATGGGCAATTACCATCCATGGGGGTCCCTAGAGTATGTTCACTGAATCCCATCACACATGGGGCGCTTGCCATTGAAGGTCTGTGCTCTTCCACCTGGGTCGGTGGGAGAGCAGACCATATCAGCTTCAAGAGGGATCTGCAGAAATTCAGGAAGCTTGCCAGAGATAAAGCCACTTTGGCATTGCTGCTGTAGAGGCTGTTCTGCTCTTATTGCAGAGGGCCCAGGAGAGCACTGCCAGTGTAGACCTCTGGCTACAAAGCACCAAGTGGGGGAGATGCGGAGGCGCGGCTGCTGCTAAGAACATTTTGTTGGATGGTTGTGCCTTGACATTCTCCAGGGTAGGAAGGGCCTGAAGAGCTGGATTAAGCTCGGGGGCTGTGTCCATCAGAGTCAGAAGTGTTGGGTTGGTCTGTGGTGGGGCTCCCCTTAAAAACAAGTATAAAGCAGGTTCAAGCCTATATGGTGGCTCAAGCCTGTAATCCTAGCACTTGAGTCCAAGAGTTCAAGATCAGCCTAGGCAACACAGTAAGACCCTGTCTCTAAAAAAAAAATTAGCCAAGCGTTGTGCTGCATGCCTATAGCCGAAGCTATTCAGGAGGCTGAGGCAGAAGGTCCACCTGAGCTCAGGAGATTAAGGATGCAGTGATTCATAATCATTGTGTCCCTGCACTCCAGCCCGGGTGACAGACCCCAACTCAAAAAAACCAAAACCCAAAAAACACAAATGACTGTAAAGGCATCTGGGTGGAAGGTGGCCTATTCCATGGGGGTGGCAGCTGCATAAACCCACTGGAACACACTGAAATGCCGCGGTACCAATCTTCCTTCCTGAAAACAGCCATTGCAGCAGAGTGCAGGGACAGCTTATGTCTCTGCTTTGCAGCCATGGCCCCATCTAGTTGTGCTTCCCAGATAAATGTGACAGGGTCTTGAACAAATGAAACAATCTTACTGTCTTTGGTGACAGCTGCCAGCTATTACAGTTTTTGGCCTTAAGTTGCATACCACTTCCTAGCAGTTGCATACAGTATACCAGCAGCACCTTTCTCACTTGGTCTCTGCTTCAGGTCTTTGAGTAGGGTTGGAATCTCAGATCATGTCAAGGGGTAAACTCATTGAGGATTTCCATGGTGTCTGGGCACATTCCTCATCCCAGCCAGTTGTGAAGGCAGCAACTGCTGTCTTAACCATGTGATGGGTGGTGACTGGTAATGCCTACACTGTGACCCGGGCACTCAGGATCATCATTCCACAGCTCTCAGGACTCCAGACTGGCCAGCACGAGTGATGTGACTCTGAAATAAGCCTGTGTGACTGCAGTGTGTTGCTCAAGGGCTGCTGCCAGCAGTACCCAGCAGGTATCTGAGGGCGGAGCACATCACAGATGAAGCTGCACTGTCTCATTAGGAGTGCACAGAGAGACGAAATGGCAGTGATGCACCCTCCAGTGATTGTGTGGACTTGCTAGCAGCAGGAGTCCAGGGATCTATCAGGATATTCTAATTTGGACTATCCTTCTCCCAAGAGCCTACCCACCTACTAGGGAGCTAGAGTAATCTTAAGAATAATTTTGGCAGGTTTTGCCTGCTGACAATTTCCACAACAGAGGCACAAATTGCTTGTAGAAGGCAGCAACTGGCCAGAAAGCAGAATAAAAAACCTCTAGGCCACTAGAGTGAACCTCTGGAGTGTCCCACAGAGCTTACCCAATTGCTGGGTCAAAGCTAGTCCCCATTCACTCTCCTGACTCTCCCATAGAAATGGGTGTTATTACCAACTTGCTTATGCAAATCCCATCCTAATCACCAATTGTGTATTGGGAAGGAGGGTTGTTTCCAGTATGCCTAATCAACCAGCTCCCCAGGGGCGACTTCTCTTCTGTCTGATGAGTCTTAGTCACCACAGGATGCTCAAGCAGTTTATTCTGCTTACAAGTTTATCTTGCTTATTCTCTTACAAGACAGATAGCAGGAGCAGGCCTGACACAGGAGGAGGTCAGATGACCAACTTACCAGGAAGTTCTTCAACCAGAGACCATTATCAGAGTTTGGGGGATCTGCTCCCTTTCTTATACCTGTATTTAGTCCAGGTCAGTTACCAGTGCTTTTTCATAAAGGAAATACTGTAAGGGTAAGCTTTTCTTTAAGGTTTGTTATATAAGCTGTATCTGTGCGTAGGTGGCCTTGTCTCCTAGAAATCCCCAGGCTTGGTTTTCATATACTGCTGACAGTGGCCCTGAGAGACACTTGAGTGAACCTATGGTTCCCCTTAAGCTTGTAGCCATGATGTGTCTCTTATAGCATACTACAGAAGAGGTTCAGACCACAGGATCTAAGGATCTTTCTAGATCTAAATGCCTATGACCATCTTCCTTTTACTTGCAAAATAATTGATCTTTGGCTAAACTTATGAATTAACTAAAAAAAAGTGGAAAAGCTAATCTCAAAATTAACAGCATGTGTTTTGTTTGTTTGTTTGTTTGTTTTTGAGTTGGAGTCTCACTGTCGCCCTGGAGTGCAGTGGCCGCTACCGGCCACCGCAGCCTCGACCGCTGGGCTCCGGTGATCCTTCCGCCTCAGCCTTCCGAGTAGCCGGAATTACAGGCATGCGCTACCACGCCCGGCTGATTTTTTGATTTATTGTAGAGATGAGGTCTCGCTGCCCAGGTGGGTCTCGAACCCACGGGCTGAGGCAATCCAAAGGCACGGGACTACCTCAGCCTCCCAAAGGCACGGGACTACAGACTGAGCCACCGAACCCGGCCAGCATGTGTTTTAATAGGAAATAAAAACAGTGAAAGGAGTAAATATGCTGAATAAAATAGATTGAATAAAATAGAAGTAAAAATGAACTAAATATGCTGAGTAAAAATAGATGAAGGGGTTAGAAATGAAGGAAGCATGAGAGGTAGGAGAAAAGAAAAGAATATGCATGGAGCTTAAGACGGGAAAAGAAAAAGCAAGTAAAAAAAAGCATCAGTGGTATCACTGGGTATACTGTGACAGGCATAGGGATGTGCAGAGCACAGACAGCAGAGAGCGTCCAGCTGCTGGCTCCTTCAGGATCCCTCCACTGCAGAGCTCCCTCCCCTGATGATCAGGTTTTGAGAGAAGCAGAGGTACTAAGGGTCAGTCATTTCAGCCCAACTCCAATGGGCGGTACTCATTCCATACATCACCCCCAGGTTTACTGGGGCTTTGCTGGACCTCACTCGTAGTTCAGTGAGTCCCTCTAGCCAATCCTGCTTACACCCTCTTCCTTTCACAGGTGTTGATTGCTAATAAACATCATGCAGCTCACCAAAATCCATCTTAGTATCTGCTTCTAGAGAACCTAATATGTGGCAATTGATGAAATAAGATGGTGCTTTGGAGATGAATCACTTACCACCCAGATAGCAATGATGACCCCATCACTGATGGTAGATGGAGGACAGGCAGCCCTTGACACCAGATGGTAAGTCAACTAAACTTTCAAAGATGATGAAGTAGGAGGCTGCAGCAGGACAAACAGGTAGAATGTCCCAGGTATTTAAGACTATGAAGAAAACAATAGCTATAAAGATACTGGCTATCATCCTTAGGATGGATGGCTATTGCTAAGCACCACTGATGCTCTACCATAGTTCCTAAACCTGTCTGCCCAGAAATCACCTGGAGGGCTTGCTAATCTCAGAATGCTTGTTCCCTACTCCCAGTTTCTGATTCAGTAACTGAGGTGGGTTGAGAATCTGCATTTATAACAGGTTCACAGGTGAAGCTGATACTACTCTGAAGAGAGCCACTGCTCTGTGGGAAAGTAACAGCAGAGGAGGAAAGGCAATTGGAAGTCAGATGTGAAAGCCAGAGGGCTTCTTGTAGGAATACAAAGAAACTCTCATCACCTTTAGTGAGAGTTCAGAGCAAGCCAGGACCAACCCCAGGGCTTACCTGTGAGAGTAGCTGAAATTCAAACAACAGCCAACTAAGGTAATACTGTTATATCAAGGTCAGGGCCCTGGAAACCCAAAATGGTTTTAACGCCCCAGAATCCTCTAAACCTTCTGACTCTGCAAAGGCGGCACAGGCTTCCCTGAAAAAGCAATCACTCACTTTTGCCAGAAGACAACGGAAGATCCTGCAAGGCAGCAGTGCCCCCTGCCACACACACGTCCCTCAACTAATCTCCCCTCCTAGCCAATACCTATAATTAGGGTCATTTCACAGCATGACCCAACTAGAGAGGTACTGGATGAAAAGAGATTATACCCTAAAGGAGTTGCAAGAACTAACCAGCATGTGCCAGTAGTCAAGAGAAGTCTGCTGAGGACCAGATGCTGAGAGTGCTTGATCAACGGGATGAGAACGTAAAATTGTCTGGGGAAGAGTGTGTTGATTTGGGAGCACTCAGGATCCAAAGACACCAGGGTACCAGGGTGTACTGAGAACCCCCTACAAGCATGGCTCCTAAAAGCATGGAAAAGCAATGGCCCAAGCTAAGCGAAGTTGAAATACCGGAATTGCCATGGCAGACAGTGGAGGAAGGAATTCAAAGACTAAAGGAAATGGACTCATTAAAACTGATATAGTATCTATGGCTAGAAGCTACACCAAATAATCATGTCCCACAGGAAGGCCCAGAAGACACACCAGAAGGAAAGTGCTGGTGAAAGGAGCACCAGCATCAAAAGGAAAATCAGCAGTGGCTTCCTCTGCAGACCAGGGCT